CCCCAAAACCCCAAAACCCCTTCAAGAATGTATTGTTGGATAGTGCTAATATTTAAATTAATTAATAAATTAAATATATAAAAATAAGTAAAATGGAGAGAGAGCATAATGATTTAAAGAAAGTTTACCCTTTGAATTGTGAAAAAAGTAGTTAATCATTATAAGGATAAGTTTTTTAAGAAGATGAATTACTTCCAATCGAAAAGTATTTTCAAGAAAAACTCTTTTATCGATTAATCAGTTTGCCAATAAATCCTACTTATTTACAGATTAAAAATTGCTTTGAAAAATTAAAAGAGGAATTATTTAACCAAGATAAAAAGAAGGTCCTACTCATTTACTATATTGGAAAAGCAATTTGTAATTATAGTTACACATCACCTCTTGAAATATTTCCCTGACCAGAAATCAAGAGTAATAAAGTTGAAGAAGGTATATTCATCAGCGTTCTAACAAGCTTTGATTATTAAATAAGAAATGGGAAGATCTAAAAAATATAAAGATTGCTAAAGTCTATGATCGTTTTGAAATTATTAGCAATAAACTTGCACCTAAATCGATTACTTATTATAGCAAAACTGAGATAGACTCTAGCTAGAGTGCACAAGATCTTTATCAATAAATAAAATCTACAGGATATAGTCAATTTTAAAAGAAGTTTATTAAAATGATTGAAAATTACTAAGATCGAGGATATGTCTCTAAAAAATGTAGTTCAAGATAAAGTGAATCTAACTAATTTAGAGATGAATTTCTATGTCTTGTAAGTAAAAACTAATTGATTGAAGATGATAAAAAAGTAATAAAGTTATAGGACTAATAGAGCACTATAAAAACTCCAACATAAGTTAACAAGAGAAAAAAGGATGAATAAAAAGATAAAATTGATAAAGTTAAAAAAGAGTAAGTTAAAATAGAGTAAGTTAAAAAAAAGTAGATAGTCAATTTGTCTACTTCTAATCAGCTTTGCCACTTAACAAACAGCGTTCAGCTATTTAGAGGAGATTCACCTGATTAGTTACAGTAATTTGAAGAGTTGATGCTGATAAGTGCTTGTAATCAAATTTACTTATTAGATCTTCAGAATGATTGTGAAATAGTATTTAGCTACCATTTATCATTTATGCTCGGCAAATTACAACAATCTACCTTTATAAAATCCTAGGGAGTTATTGGACTTCTATCTAAAGATTTTGAGGATAGAGTTTCTATTAACTTAATAAGAATTTTCGATAAATCTACTATTAATTTTAAAAGTACTGATCTAGAGCCTATAATAGCGATTGGTCAATTGCATAACTTATATCTGGTGATTAGTTATATTTACAAGTCAGTAATATATGCAGTAAAAGATGGATAATTTGAACAGCACTTGTCTTTTAAGCATTTAGGTTCTAAAGCTTTATGGGGAATTGCAACTTCAATTGAAAATCATATCATTCTTACAGAGTATTCGGAGGATAAACCAATATTTTACAATGACTAAAAGTTTTAAATTGCTAAATTTAAACATGAATCTAATGGATAATTAAAATGTATTGATAATTATACAATGCTTGATAAGAAAGAAAAATTTAATGTCAATATAATTAATAACTACCAAATTCAAACTTAATCACGTTAGGTAGTATGCTACTTAAAAGACTATACTATATTCAATCACGATCCTAGAATTTTTGAGAATCAATTTAGGTTAAAATACAAAGATTAAACTTTCTAGTTATTTAGATTAGATTTTCTTAATGAAAAGCTTCGGGAAAATATTTTTTTTGATTAATTTGATTAATTAACATTTTATACCTTCCTAGGTAATACAAAAGAGAAGACATAATATTTTGTCAAGTTTATTATAGATAAAGATATCTTTCAATATATCAATGACTTAAAAATCTACAAAGATAAAATTGAAGTTATTTAACAAAAGATTGATCAGTAAAATGATAATTCTTGATGTTTTTACCCTAATTCATAGAATAATTAGAAATACTGAATTAATTAATTATTATCATAAATAATTTACAACTTACTACACCTAATGATAAATGAAGCCTTGGGGTTTTGGGGTTTTGGGG